CAGGCAAAGGTGGTCTACTGGGTAAAAAGAGGCTCATTATCCTCTCCTCAGGCATACTGGTCTATTAGTTATACTCTGTAAGTGTACATGAGGGAAGAGTGTATTATTGGAGTAATGACAATAATAGGAATTAGACAATTCAGTCAATGCTCTAGGATGAAGGATGTTGGTTTCCTAGAAAAGGAGGAGCTTATTCTAGGCAGCATAGACACACCTTGAAGAGAGATGCTAGAAGTACTATGGCTTCTTCATGCTTAATTTCCAAATGCTACTCTTTTGTACATATATTCTATCTGTTCTTTGATGGCATGGAGCAAAGAGCACTTCTGTGATACTCTCCTGTGGCACCTGTTGCCTTTGACACCTAACACTACAGCTGTATGGCATCTCTCAACCACAAGGAAGGACTTTAAGGAGTCCTTTTCTGCATGCCCTGTGGGCAGTGGAATGGATACGTAAAAGCAGATCAGTGTATAGCCCTTGCATCCTGCCAATATCAGCAGCACAGGGTTGGAATCATTAGGCTCAGCAGAGAGGGGGAACTGAAACCTCTGTGTGAAACAAAGCTCCATTACTACTTAGATGGTCACACCACAGACTTAGCACCAAGTACACGTGCTCTCTGCTTAACGTCAAACTTACATGCTAGGTATAAGTGCCCTTATTGGCAAACTCTCCAAATATCACTAAAGGATAAAGCCTGTGTCTGTCTTTTTTTTTTAAAAAAATAGGATCTGACCCACATTAACATTGAAAAAAGCCTATGATATCAAGCTGTGAAAGCCCAAACAATAACATGGGCCTGAGGCTTGGAGTCACTTTCTCCCAGGCATATTGGCTTTTGAGTGCTTTGACATCAATAAGAGAAACCTTGCTATTTTCTTTTCCAAGAAACACCAAATATTTAATTGAATACATGCCTTTAAAAAGGAGAAAAACTCATTTAGAAATGACCTACTTCACTTTTATGAAAGAATATTTAAATGCATCTCACAATCTGGCCCTATAGCTATTCATTCTTATTCTAAGGCTATTTTCTTCCTTCCTTCCTCCCTTCCTTTCTTTCATTTATGGCAGTTGCCTGTATAGTGTGACCTACAGGTTGAGCTCCCCCTGGCCTGGATTTTGTACCTAAACTGTTAAAGAGTGTGCATGGTTGAATGCTGAGAATTTTTCATGGCACTCTCTATCAAGCACCCAAGTCAGGACTCCACCAGGCAGGAACAATACAATATCCAGGTTAATTAAGGAGAGAAACATAGAATGCTTTCCCAAAGAAGTTTCTGGAAGGAAGCCTGACCCAATAAAGGAAGAGGTTAAAGCTATTGCCAACAGAGACAGGAACTGATACTAGCCCTAAAACATTAGTTTGCCTAAGAAGAAATGTCAAACAATTCACCTGGTTTGTTCTCCCAGGCCGTGGCATTTACTGTCACAAATGAAGAAACCCCATGGATGACTTGATGTGATAAAAAATAAAATACAAAGGGTGGGGGGATTCCCAAAGCCAAGAGTGGAACAGACTCAAGTGAGCTTAATGTCTACAAGCAGAAAAGATGAGAGATAACCTGTGAACTTTAGGGCAAATGCCAAGGAGGTGCTACATAGCTTCTCGCCTAATTCCATCCTCAAATTGTTTTGTATGTGGAGAGGTCTTAGAATAATGTCAATGATGAAGCTACAACTCTGCTGATATGGCAGCTGGATACCAATTTCTTTTTTGAGACAAAGCCTCACTATAAAGATCAAGCTGGCCTCCAATTCACAGAGATCCACCTGCCTCTGCCTCCCCTGGGATTAAAGGAGTGCATACCATGGCCAGACTGAATATTCTTTTCGGTACTTAACACACTGCAGATAAATTTCCTTAGACAGGGAGGGCTACTATTCAAGTGTGACTGACAAATCACCAGATCTGCAAGTGGAGAGGACAGTATGCAAAGTCCACTGCTTTTCTAGGAAACTAGAAAATGTAAGATTTAGGGAGTGTTGGTTAGGACAGTTGGAGGAGTACATGATTCCTCCCCTTCAAGGGTCTCTAGAATGGAGCTGTAGCATAGGGACAATGCTATTACCCTTGTTAGGGAAGATCAAAGACAGCCATACCATGCAATGCTTCTTTTGGAGAAATCAGAAATCAACCAGGACCTGTTAGCTTAAAAATATTTTTCTATTGCATTTGTACATTTTTCTGGCAATGACACTCTGACCTGGGGAATGGGTTTCAGTTACTGCTCTTGACATAGGAGGAAAGAAATAGCTGACTTCAGCTGCTTCTTTTTCTTTTTAGAGCCCCAGCTTTATGTTACTGTCACTGGATTCAGCTGTTGAAGCTTTTAAGGCTAATGATGACTGTAAATGTACTAAACAATAGAAGAGAGAGGAGGAGTGGAAATTAACTATCCATTTGTCAGGATTCAGTCTGGAAGATTCTTTAGGAACCAATCTAAATCTAGAGGATAGCCTGGACCTATAAAATGGGACACAGAACCACCCAAGTCCACAACCTTTAATCTGTTCGGAGAAAGGAACAAATGTTAAATTCTACAGATTGCTTTCTGGGCAAAATAAATACATAGAATGTGGCTTGTTAAGACACAGTAACCCTGAAAGACCACATCCATTAAGGTGAACGATTCCACAAGGTTGTTTTAGTAGCAATTTTAGTTTAATGACTCTTGGCTGTGCCACTGAAGATCTGGGCATTCATTACCACAGATGCATTTGGTGTGTAGACAGCATTTGAGTGCTAACACCCACAGACAGAGGTGAACCTGTGACATCATGTTGAGTTATTTTGAACTGAGAGGCCAGTGGCAGGGACAGAAGTAGACACATTCCAATTAAAGGCATCTCTGCTGTGGACAGAAATATGGTGTTGTTTATTCTAAGAATTTCTTTTTAGATGGAGTCTGTGAAGTCAGAACTGTGATCACATGAGTTGTAGATGCTGAAGTACCTCAGAGGAGAAGAAGGTCCTTGGGAGCAAAAGATTAAGAGCTGTGAATTAGAGCAACTCAGGTGACTTGAGAGATTGATTGTGGTGATGGAGAAGAGTCAGGGAATGCTAACGCTCTTAAAGAAAAAAAAAAAAATAAAAAAAAAATAAAAGAAAAAGAAAAAAAGAAATAAGAAAAGAAAAAACACCTTAAGCCAGTGATGAGGCCAGTCACAAATGAAAAGTGTCGTTCCACATTCAAGAAAAATGGGGAGTTTATATACAGAGTGAGTGAGGACTTTATTGGCTTCAGATATAAACCCCTATAGATACATAAATAGAACTTTCTACCATGGGAGGTATAAGGCTAGGTCATACTTCTCCAAAGACAAACACACTGCTAATGATATCTACACAATTTGGTTATTTATCTGACATCCCAAGGGCCTTTCACAGGAAACTATGAAACCTGGTAAGAAAAGCACATGACTGAGGATATATTTCAGCTATACAGTGCTTGCCTGGTATTCCAGAGGCCCTGTGTTCCACCTCCAGCAATGCCAGCCAAACAAAATACAATAAAAAAGTACACACGCACTCCGGTTTACTAGCTAGACAAAAGATGAGGAACTGAATTCTTAGGATGAAGCACTGGCAGTAAGGCTGCTATGGACATCCAGAGGAGGAGGAACATCGTTGATATGCTAATGAATGATACAGAAGTGTCAGGGATTGGTTTACTATGCACAAAACTGAGTTTACTAAGAAGCAAGGGGGAACTGACAGCCCAAGCAGAAACACACAGACAAGAATTAGGAAGCAAATTTTCTAGATGGAGCCAGGTTTAGAGTGAGACACAACACCAATTGATGGATTTTTCAGGAGGTGTAACATTTAGAATAGGCACAGGTGTTTGTAATCAGTATTTAGGAAGCCCTTCAATGGTGGGTTATGGCAGAGTTCTTTGTCCCACTGCAATAGCTGCAAAGTGAAGAAACTTGGATTAGACGATGCACTGTAAGATCTGCTGATGAGGCCTCCTCTCTCATGAGCACTCTGTACTCTGGCAAATGGAAAATAAAATTTCTCCAGAAAAAAATCAACGTGATCCTAGAAGGTGGCTGCTGGACCTTGGGTGCTAAAGAGCTGAATATGAAGAGCACCAAGTGAGATATTCAGTGGGTATCAAGGAGTCCAGGGATGGAATGGCTGAGCTCATGGTTGAAAGGGACCTCAGACACTTGCCAGGTAACAAGACCTCAGTGGCAAAGTCACTTTTTCCAAGAGATTCTATCTTTCCTTAGAGTAGACACTTGGAAGCAACAGATGGGGATGGCCTGGTCTAAGGAAGTTCTACACATCTGAGTAGGTATGGTACAGCCAAAAGCTATCTTCCCTTGTTATGACAGAAGAAAGCTAAGGAGCACAGTCACCAACATCAAACTATTTGGGTGGGCACCAGGATGAGGAGGGAAGCCACATAAAAAAGAGGTGGTGCACATTGAGTGCTTAGCTTGGAAAAGACTGGCTCCCTCTGAACCCTGCAATCTCCCGGGCAATCAGGGGCCCATGCAGCCATAGTGCCAGCAGGCACTCATTGGAGGAAGGAGGACGACAGTGCATTCTGTAGTGTGACCCAAGAAGGCATGCCGAAATTTAATGCTTGTATTTTCTTCATCTGGATTAAGATGAAATTTAGATCAGGACATGATCCAGGCCACAATACTTACCATTCCACCAGCTGTGGCCAAGCAGAAGCTACTGGAGGGTTCTCTAGTAGCCAGGCTGCCATTTTTCCTAGTGTTTTGGCTTTGGGTGGTGATGCTTCAAAAAGAATCCCCTCACACTGAGTAAGGTAAGTCATCTGATCTGTTAAAGGCTCAGATGTTAAAGCTCCCCCCAGATCCTTAAGATTCAATTAAAGAGTATAGCATCAAGTGTCTCTGGAATTCTAAAGTAAAGGAACAGTTAGGCTCAGAGGGGACAGCTAGGCTTCTCTTTGTTTATACCAGAAAGACAATATACAATTAGGACATTTCCAGTGGCAATGATGGTACCATACCTGCGATGATGGTAAGGATGGTGGTGGTGGTGGTGGTGGTAGTGGTGGTGGTTGTTGTGGGAGGAGGGATAGTTGTGGGGGGATCTGGATAAAAAAAAAAAGGAAAATCAAACCCACAATGCTGAACACAACAATGACAAGTAATGACAAACAAAGGCATGGAGACACTGAGATGCTGGTTGGATGGTGTCCTCCTTTAAACCACCAGGTTCCTTCCCCTCAGAGACACAGGCATGGAACTATACCTCAAAGCCTTAGTTGGAAGAGCTAAGAAAAGAAGAACAGCTTTCTTATTCATGAAGTGAACAGGAAACAGAAAAGTGAGGTGGGGGGGGGATCTAAATACGCAAAACCACTAACCCTGCCAGATCTTAAAGGCAAGGCTAAGTCACCTCAGTGCCAAGAAAGCACAATGGCTGTCCCTTTCTACTTCACAGATGGGAGGAAAGAGGAGAAGGGGCTGCTGCATTTAAAGGGCTTGTATCAGCCAAGGATGAAGGTGGCACTGCACACATGCTCTCTGCAAATGCTAACTTCATTATTCTCCATCAATACATCCCAGCAGGAAGGAAAACCACTTCTGTATCCATAATAAGTACAAAGAAGAGAGAATGTCACCATAGACAGAGTACCAAGTTCCAGGCAAGTGAGATTTTACTGAGATGTTATTTTTTAAAAGTCAATAAATTTTTACACCTTATAAATATTAATAAGTTGCCTTTGCTCGTGTTAAAAGCTTGACCTAAGTGGACCACAATGATAAAAATGAAAGAACATCTTCCACCTTGTAAACAAGAGAGCTAAATATAAATGAGATTTGACCCTCAAATCCAGGAATCTGATAGGAAGCCTCTGTCTGGTAGTTGATACACTGTATCTTCTATCATCTCAAAAATTATTTGGGGATAAGGAAAGGGCAAAGAACGAAAAAAAAAAAAAAATCTAAGCCCAGATGATCAAACTGAATATGTTAAATTGTCAGCAAGACTTTGAACTAAGCAATCATTCTGCTATAATAGAGCAGAGGACGATTTGAAGGCTTTTGATTTTAAATTTTATCTAAAGCACGTCAACTTTTTCTCCCTGACACATCTGGTGTCCTTTTATCTTCAAGTGAGCTCTCGGATTGTCTAATTAATACATCAAAACTTTAATTATACATTGCACCTTTACTGGGTTTGGCACAACTTCCTGGAAGCTGATGGAATGACTCTTTTGGTGATTGGCTGCAAAGTCTGCATGAAATGATGATGATCATTGATCGATAATCAAAGGTTTTCATTTTCTTAACCAACTGCTTCTCTCACACAATCATACTTGCATGAATTTGATAAGAACCAACAGCAAATGTTTCTGCTTTATGACACACTTTTCTCCTTGAAGATGTGGAAACAAGCAAATTAAACTGTTGTTTAATGCAGCCTCCAATGAGTAAAAAAAAAAAAAGGGGGACTCCAGGCAAAGTCTCATTCTAGGAGGTAGGAATGATGAAATTTAAAATTAAAATTATCTTTTAAAGAGAACAGGATAAGAAATGGCTGAGCATCATTATAGCCTTGTCCTTTGGTGTGTTTTATGGAAGCCACAGGTGAGAAAGTTGTTTTTGTGATTGGCAACTTATTTAGACACATTTACATCAACAGCAGGTGCCAGCTAGAGACAGATCCTGAGACGTCTCTAGCCAGCATGACAGCCATTGCCTCCTTCCACTACAAGTAAACTGTTCAGAGAGTACCTCCTGCCCATCTAGGAAACAAATGATGTTCCTTTTCTGTTTGCTTCAATTGTAGTATTGCCACTGAACGGCAATATTGCTACTCAGAAGACTTGCCCTGCTGTACTCTAATGCTATTTTCAAAACCACTTCTAAATGCAATAGCACAAAGCATATGATGTGTGCAACACGCTAAGAATGAGTGTGAACATGATCTGAAGATATGATTATGAACCAAAAGGCAGACAAGATGAACAAGGGGATAGAAGTCAGGAAGAGGTCACCAGGACATCTCAATATGTAAAAATGGCACATGTTCAGTGATCTCCATCACTGTTGGGCAAATCTTGTCCTTCACATCTGATTCAGGAAACCCTGAATGAATCAGATTCCATTATCAGGTGACGTGTCCTTGCTGAGGTCACTTTCAGTAAGAAGGGTGGCACAAGGCCACTGTTTAAGAAATCAGTGGGCTGGGATGCAGCCCATCAGTAAGTGCTTACCAGGTATGCCAGAGGCCCTGAAACCAATGTGCAGCATACAACACACATAAGAAGAAACGGCTGAAGCTAATGAGCTGTGCTTGAAACATGGATGTTAACAGAATAAACCCAACTGGGATATGGGCTCTAACCAGCCAGATGCATCAAGTAGAGAAGTTACTTCCAGAATTAAATATTTTAGAAGTGTATCAACTCTTAGTTTACAGAGCACTTAAAAAAATTGCTGTAGTACCATGGTATATTGCTTTGGAAAGACGATCTGCCCATCCCTTCCCAAATTGTTAGAATGTTTTGTTACTAGACTTCATTTAGTATGCTAGCCCGCCATTCAAATGGTGCCACTAGCAGGGGCCAAGAGATAGAGGATCCAGAGGAAGCTGGATGGGATCATGGATATGCCTGTATACAGGTATGCTTGCCTGAGTAGGTGAGTTCCTACAATACTTGGTTTTCAAATAATGCACTGTGGTCCAGGGAGCCAGTTTCGAAAGGCCAGTCTTATTCTGAAGGGATTTGGTCTCTTGGAAAGCCATGAGAATAAGAGACATTGCAAAGACAAACTTTGCTGTGGGTTTTGGGATGACAGTATGGTGGCCCTAAGGCAATCTGGGGACCTTATGAATTAGGTCATATTTTATGATCTTCTAAGCTTTATTTTATTATATGTTGAATGGGATGAAAAATAACACAATCATGGTGTTACTGTGGAGACTGGATGAGATCATCTAAAATTGTCAATGCTGGAAACAGCATGAAGGGCACTCTCAACAAATTCTGGTTATAAGCGAATTTCCCAAATTATGTTTTCCAAAAAAGGCCTCAAAATGTCTCTTCTCATCTTGAGATGTAGGAATAGAAGGTACTGTAAATTGAACTTCTTCTGAATCAGAGAAGTGTGTCACAGACTGGCAGAAAGTGATCAATGCTTTGTGTAATGTGAAGTCTGCAAAAAGAACTAGACTGATGTCTATAAACCTGGGCACAAATGTCGAGTGCACTTTCATAAGGCTCAGACTTTAGGGTGGAACGGGTGTATGCAAAAGCACAGAGAGGAAAGTATCTTCCATCCATGCCAAACAGTGCAACAGAGCTGCTCTGCACATCCAGCGGAAACTGGCTGCCCTGTGTCCCCTTCTCACATACACAACAGAGCCATTCTCTCTTTGTGGATTTCCTTAACTACTGAGGAAAACTGAGGAGACTTGTATAACTACTGAGGAAAACTGAGGAGATGGTATACTTTAGAAGCTTGAAAATATATAGGGATTTGACAGGATCTTTTAATTTTGCATTATGCTAAGGCAGCAGTTCTCAATGTGTAAGTCTTTACCCCTTTGGGGTTGTATATCAGATATTTACATTATGATTCATAATAGTAGTGAAATTACAATTATGAAGTAGTAACTAATTTTATGATTGGGGTCACTGCAACATGGGGAATGGATTAAAGGGTTGCAGGTTTAGAAAGGTTGTTAATGGAGGAAAGGTGCTAATGGAGGAAACCCTCAGGTATAGGCTAATGATTGTAACTTCATATTCATATAGGTATGGTATAAAGGACACTTCTCTGTCCAAAGATACCTCATAAGGAGGGTGACTAGGTTCTGAGACAGTACAGTGTAAATACGTATGTATAATTTATGTGTCTATGCCTATGTTCACGTATTTGTAACTTAACTTGGATTGTTTACAAAGCTAGCATGAAGACAGAAATGTGGCCCCCATATTCAAATATTTATAACATTAGGATTTTGATGCTTCTGGTTACTCATTATATATTGGGCCAGTGCATGACTTTTTCTTAGTATAAAATGAAGACTTCAATTGGAAGAGAAGAGATTCAATTTGATATCACAAGACTATAAGAAGAGTGTACTTCTCACCTAAATAGAAGATACTAACAATAAACAAAATCAATAGCAAGATATCAATGGGAAATGCCTGACACCACAGATGTTCAATGCATATCTATTGATTCCAAAGTAAAATTCTAATATGTTTTAACAATCCTGTAGAAAGATGTTGATTAAGAAAACACGTATTTTTAAAAGTTGGCATTTGTGTAAAACAGAAGGTGTACGTGGTTTTTGCAACTACCAAGGACTTTGTATTTGAGTGTTTACTGGCTTGCAAAGCCTTCCAGATTTAATAGCTTCATGTTGAAAATAAGATAGCTCTGTTCATCAAAGCAGGAGAAAGGCTAACCCAGGCATCATAGGAGGGGAAAAAAAAAAAAAACCCCACTGGGAATAAACTTTCTAAGCTGAACCCTACTAATTGGTAAGGTTGAATTTTTCAGACATTACTTCTAACATAATCTTTATGGCCTGTGCCTGAGGACTGACTTCCTACTCAGCACGACCACAGACTGTGATCTTGTGGGAAACCCCCATGATCAGAGGGAGAGATGAACAGTCACAGTTGACCCAGGTGGGGACCACTGGGGTCCACCTCAGGCCAGGCTTCGTTAAGTTCCTGAAGGACACCAACTGGTTTTTTGGTTTTCAATTTGACCAAAGGCTTTGGGGGTGAAGCCCAGACAGCAGCTACATGCAGAGGGGCGAGTAGGGGAGTCTTCTCACGTACCGTATACATACAGCATATAGTCCGAATGAGCTTTTCCCACTATGTTAGAAGCCTCACAACGGTAAGTACCGTTATCTGTTTTGTTCAGGTTATTGATGAACAGGTTTGGCCCGGACAGTACAGCGTGTTGAGGCATTTCATCATCAACTCTAACCCAAGTTACCATCACGGGCCTGCAGAGGGAAGGTAAGAAAAGACAGGTCACAGGGTCATTCCCCACTCAGGTAATCTGTATCCAGTTTTTAACCTGTGCAGCAAACCAATCACATGCAGGGTGATGCAATTAACTGGACCCACTGGAGAGATATGAAATTCATAGAATTAAGACCATGCAACTGCCAGATGCAAGTTTGGAATATGATTTTTAAAAACATAATCAGGTATTTAGAAACCTTTAAGACTTGATAAGCGAGTCTTATGACTTTCAATTCATCTTTAGTAAGTCAGCAAATAAGCCAACATGCCCAGCTGTGTGGTTTCACACCAATTCAGCCAGGGTAGAGCTCATCCATTGTTAATCATCTCATTAATTGGAAAGAGAGAAAAAATGAAAGGTCTAGGCTAGTGGTGCATGCAACAACCTAATGGTTACTAACACATCAAATGTTGCTTTGCTCGGAAGCTACTTGTGAGTTTTAAATGGACTTTAACACACAAACATTCCTCCCTGCCTCTCTTCCTTTCTCTGGTGGGCACTGAACACTGTCGCTCTACCACTAGCCTACATCCTCATCTTTCTTTAATTACCATTTATTCTCTGGGTAGCTGGTCTGGAACTTGGTATGTAGACCAGGCTACCCTTGAAACATCAGGTGATCTTCTGATTCTGCTCCCAGAGCAGCTTGGATTACAGGCCTCTGTCATCAGCCCTGGCTTACACAGAGCTTTGTTTTGATCTATTTTTGGGAAAACTAAACTTTGATTCTGGAAAGATGCAATCACTTCCTCTCCCTTTAGCCTGACTCTTGCACCTGAGATGCCACTGTCCACCTTGTCTATCTGGCCCTGATCAGCAACTGGCCCTCTGAGCCCAGATATGGCTGCACCTTCCCTGTGAGTGCATTTGGTTCTTGGATTAATGATGAAAGAACACATCTCAAAGTGAACACTTCAGGGCCAACAATGGAAACTGGTTATCAAAGTAAGTCTTAGTGACTTAAAATACAACATCTATCTTAAGACAGCCATTAAGGAAAAGCAAGTTTGACAAGACACTCTGGGGAGAAGAGTGCATACACACCAACCATCTTTTACTCACTGAACTGGAAACCTGTGTTTCTCAAGACACCTCTCATGGTCCTATGAAATCAAGTGCATATCTAAGAGCATGTCTGAAAACATGTTCTCTTGTGTGGTATGTGTGATGCTAGAGACAGAACCAAGGGCCTGGTGAGTGCTAGGCAAGCATTCACCCCAGGTTATACCCCCAGCCCCCAACTTTTATTTGAAAGGAACACATGGGTTTGAACACACAAGCAATTTTCTTTCCATCCCTACCACTATTTCTAAGAGGAGTGACATGGGCAAAGACCCACTCATAAATGGCGAACAGATTCTCAAGTTAGGTCTGTCAAGTAGCATTCCATTGTTCAAATGGGATGTGAAGTTGCAATTTTTCTTTAATTACATATGGCTTTGTCATCACAATGCAGTAAATTATTTAAAAGTTAGTACTGCATATGTCCTCCTTGTAGGCAGTGGCAAACGGGGCTGCCTGGCAATCAGAGCTCACGTCCTGCTGCTTGACAGCTGAAACAATCAGTGGGGGTAAGCACTGAGAATATTCACAATATATAATGGCAAGTTAAATTACCATTTTTATTGTATGCAATTTCTTGAGAAAATAAATAGGTAATATGCAAGGAGGGATTGCTACAGAGTAATGCCTGCTTGCTCAAGCAACCACATACCCTTTCCAATTTGAGAGGAACAAACAAATACCCTCTCTGGCAAAAATGTCCTAAAGGAAACATGTAATTTACTGTCCCTGTGGCACATGCAATTGAACACAGTACCTTCTTCAGGAAAAAAAAATACAGAAACAAAATATAGGTTAGCAAGCCAAACAGTATAAATGTTGTGTTGTGGTAAAACACAGGTGCTGTAAACAGTCAGAGGCCCATGAGAAGTGCTTTCCCTTGGTTCACAGGGTTGTTTGGGAGACAAGGGAAGCTGCTAATTAGGGCATAAATCAGATTACAAAAGGAAAGATCTCAATCTTTTTGAAGGGCTTAAAAGAGAAAAAGACTGCTCTGTCAAAGCTGGGATCAAATAACCCAGCAGCAGTAGAAAAGAAGTTAAATAGAACCTGATCAACCTTCTTCTAAAGGTTACCTTTATAACACTGCCTCCTTAGGCAGAGGGAAGGCTAACCAGTCTATGTATAAAGGACAGTGGGAGAGGAAGAAGGGACTAGCCAGAGCCAGGCTTCCCTCTGACACAGGGCACTTGGCTCTTCAATCATCACAGGGTGAGTTCTCTCTGAGGATATGGAGGGAAGCTCTGTGAAGATGTTCCAATGTCTGCATAGGAGAACTGTGGAGATGCTGCTTACCCAAACTGTGAGGGGAAAAAAAGAAACCATGGCACAGGGACAGCAGAGGGAGCTCAATGCTGTTTTCCCCCTCAAAGTTTAGTTCTTTAAACCCAACTGGACCTGTCCTTCTATTTCAGGATTCAGTACATTGGGATGGTTTTTATTTGTTTGCTTTTTTTTTTCCTTTAAAAGAGTGTAAAACATTTTGTTTTACTAGAAGGATGAAAAGCTCCTTTCTTCCCTCTTCTCTAAGTAAACTGTGAGATATTTGCAGTAGCACAGCCTCCAGGCTTGTTTGCCATGTTAGTGGTAAACCACACCCCTCTTGTGGTTCATGCTGGATTATTGTGCAGAGATAAACAGAGCATTTCCATCACTCTCCTCAGCAATGAGAGTCTGTCAGCACTCCTCTCCTGTCCTTCTGGGCAGCGACAGCGACATTCTCCTTGAGGACAGTTCCTGAATCTCTCCTCACTAACAAAGCTGCTTCACAGTTGAGTACAGTACTTTTCTAGCAAACAACTCTTTTTCTGTCTACATCTGGCCCTAAATGCTATACCTCAGAGTTCAGAAAACCATCTTCCAGCGATGGCAAGAACATCGCTGTTAGCAGATGTTCTATTGCATGTGTATCCATGTGTGTCTTTGTGTGTGGGCATGTGTATGTGGGTATCCGTGGAGTTCAGGAGAGGGCTCTGGGTCCCCTGGAGCTGGAGGGATATGCCTGTTGTGAGACACCTGATATGGGTGCTGGGAACCAAACTTGGATTCTCTACACTAGCAGTGGGGGCTCTTAATTGCTGAGTCACCTTCCCAGCCCCAGTATGTTGAAATTTTATGTAAGAGAAAATAGCCCCCAGCCTATTGATAACAATAAAACAGAATTCTCCAGAATTTCAGTGTTAGCTGGCATTTTCCTACCAATCCTACCATTAAGAGTTATAGGTATTTTTCCCCTCTCATTGAATATTCTTCATTTTTTGAAAAGTCATCCATCCTTTTTACAGCAGCAGACAGGTGACAGGCCAATGAGTTGTGAATGCACATCTTCATGTTGTGACATTTACCGCTCACGACCCTCTGCCAACCTTGGCCTTCAGAACTTACTGGGGCTTCCCGATGGCTTCACATGTTAACTCAAGCGCATCTCCTTCCCGGGTTAGGCCTTGTAGAGGGTAAGTCATCTGGATATGCACTTGCGGCTTATCTGTGTGACAATAATATAATATGTGATGTTTAGCCAAACGACAGCATCAGGCAAATCAGACCTGCACAGTGTCACAAACCCCACATGGCTAGTACTTACTCTCTCCCCATCTATGTGCCTTCAGCAGCATCCTTCTAATTAGTTAGTAATCCTGGCATTTGTTCAAATTAAATTGACTAATAACTCTAAGGAGTGAACCTTGAATAGATAAGAGATTCATAAGCCAACTGTGCCACATCAAACAATTCCTGTGAAATACATTTTGTTACACTGAAGTTTATCTCTAAACTCAGTCAAGCTAAGGGAAACTCATTTGCCTTCATGCTGAGGTAAAGCTAAAGATTTTTGTGGTGCTCAAAATTGATACACTGTTATCATATATCACATAATACCATGTAAACAATGTGTTTTGACATTACATATTAATAAGTGTCTCTCCTATGCTCTTGCTATCAAATTGTTCCCTGAATTTCACTCAAACAGCTTTCTGAAGGAAAGATCTGGGAGGCATGGGTGGCCCCAAATGAAACCGCCTTGGCCTAAACATAGAAGAGGAAAGGGGATTGATGTTCACCCAGAGCCCACTCTCTGAGGAACCATTGCCTGCAATGGAATAACCAAGATTTTAGGGAAGACAACTTTGGTACCCATAAATGACATAGCTGGTTGGAGGTCACCAAGACAACACAGTACCAGGTAACCCTACAGAATGAAGGGTGAGACAGAGTTCTTATTCCAAAGTACATTTCTCAACAGCAGTCCATAATTAAAGCTGAGTATACCTTTCTAATATGGTTGTACATTTATGAAAGTGACACAAGTTATTTTTATTTCCAACAGTGGCTTAAAGCTGAGATTGCTGGTGAGATGGCATGTGGGTATCAGAAATGAATGATGTGGAGAGGGTCAGGGACTAGAGCAGGAAGCAGAAGTAGTTAGAATCAGCATGGATAGATGCACAAAGACATCTGTAAATAGAACATGAGTGGAATCAGATATTTTCCTATGCTTCTCATTTAATTCTGTGGTTCTGTAAATGTATATTTTTGGAAACGGACCCCAGAGTAATAAGTATGAGAGGGCAAGACATCAGTTGGCTGAAAGGTCAAAACAATTACCATAGTTTTACTTTCCCACACAATCACATCACCTAAACAACAGTCCCTTGGCCTTTTACAAGTAGTGGTGAGCTCATTAGTATTCATCCTATAGAGTAAGAGAGAAGACAGAAATATGGCCAGGCTCTACCAATCTCATCCTGCACACAGCTATGGACACTGCACAGGGGAGTCATCACCAAGGGCCACTGTTGTCAGATGAATTTTTAGTCTGGATCCTATCACATACCTTATGCTATGTCATAGAGAACCCAGGATATTATGGTCCTTTTAAGAGAGCCCCCTTGAACACCCACCAGTATACACTGCCCACTGGGAATCAGTCATATTTTCTGAGGTTCAATGTCACTTGTTAGAGGACAAAAAGCTGACAAAACCTCCAGATGGCCATTACAAGTCACACAGTCCCTCCCTTGAACTTACTGGCAAAAGCAAAATGGTGAGGATCCTAGTAAATTTTATTAGAGAAAGTCAGAACTATTTGCAGAGAATAAATAGGGTGACCTTGAACTAGCATTGGCTTTGGGGTTGAAGCAAGGGCTCCCAGGCACCCATTTTTAGGTCCTATTTTAGACTAAACAGAACCCTGAGGTGTACTGTATGTCTGTTATTTTTAGTGATACAAGTTCTTTTGCCTGATACGCAGCTATGTGATGAAATCTAGTTTTAAAAAGATAAACAAAAACAAATGGGAAGTTATTACACACAGATAACAAAAGTCCTATCTTTTGTTATAGTTTACACTGACAAACCAAGCAGCACTCAGGAAATCTTGCTTAGGGGACTAGGGACATAAACGGAGGGCCCTGAATCTAGGCAGCAGCAGGGCCAGAGAAGAGCAGGGTATTTGCACGCCCTGCTGACTTTAGCCCGTTCGTTAAGGAGAACAGAATGGCTCCTGACCTGCACTTGCTACCTGTGTTCACCAGAGCATGCTTGCTGGCTAATGCCGGCTGATATGTGCTTGTTGGTCTGGAGTTGCTGGTCTATGCTTGCTGGTCTGTGTCCAAAATTTCTGTTCTTTCTCTCCTCTGTGTAATTTATAAGCAATCAGGAAAGGTGTGTTTTTAGGGCAGTATACTCGGGTCTCCCCATGTTCAATGTCTATTAATACTAAGAGAGTGTAAAAAAGTCTAACCCAACCTGCCTCTTTGCTATCACTGACTTTGTCTTGGTTAAACTTTCTTTTTAACTCATGTTCCGAATGAGCTGTTTACCAGTTGTCAGTCACAACATAAATCAGAAAGAATAAGTGAAGGACTTGCTATGCCTGAAATTTATATTTTAAGCCACAAAAACTATACCCTGAACTTTGATCACTGATTTTCTCAGTTTATGGTCCAGTTACCTGAAGAAGCTTCTACCATGTTAGGTATGGACAGGGCTGCCATAGTTACCCAATGGCTGGTAGAAAAAGCGCACATATCACTTGTATTATGCAACAAAAGGTCCCTTTTCATTGATACACACAGTATTTATGGGCAGCTGAGCTATCTTCATACCCTATGAAGCAAACAGAAGGACTGCTCAGCAAGATCTGTCCCTGAGGTGATAGGAAACGTAAAGAAAAATTTTATGTCCCTTTCTATGTCCTAACTCTTTAACAGGTGGGACAGCAACATGGGGATTCCAGTGATACCTCAAGAGATCAGGGGCAGTAAATTGTCTCCCAAAAGAACCTGGCTACAACAGAGACATGTCAAAATATTAAACTATCCAGATGGCTAATTGAAAAGCCAGAGCCTATCATTTATATTTCAATTTCATACATAAATCAAATGTTATAACTCAGCACATATTTTCTGAAACAGAACCAGACTCCAAGATTTATCTTTAAGTAATGAGGTAAAGCCTTGCACATTTTCTGGGGGATCATTTTACGCCTCAGTTGGTGTCGTTAGGCACAAGGCTAAAAGCCGGATGATACTTCCTACCCATGCAACAACTGTCCAGCAGCATATTGCTCAGAATAGCTTAATGTCATTATAAAATAGAACTGCTATACAAAAATAAGGAAAACAGCTAGGCCTTTGCACTTAAGGAGAATTACTTTCACAGAGATGACATCAGCAACAGCCAATTGATTAGGCGGAAAGATCTAAGGTTTACATAATACACTGTACTTTTTTTTAAAGCCCTCTAAAATACATTCAGCAAGACCACCAGCTTACCAAATTTGTTCATGAGTCCAAGTTGCACAGAGGGTTAAATACCAGGAGGCTACAGGGCACACTATAGTAGCAACCAATTAAAAAAATAATTTTAGGAAGTCATTCTGATTTGATGAGACATTCCTTAAATGTACTTTCCTCCTTCTATAAAGGGGGAGATATAAAAGAAAACTCTTACAGAGGTCTGAATGGCTTACTGGCAGATTACAATTGATTTCATGCCAGTCTGACCTTGCACTATGTTCTGCGATCTTCTTAGAAGATGAAACTCATGATTCTGTAACCTGTATATCAATTTCCTATGCAAATGAAAACACAGTCTCTCTTCTCTGAAGCCCAAGACTGCAGCATCAGGTCTTCAACAATCCCCCTCCCTTGACTAGGATGCCATCTTTCCCATGGAGAAGACAGCAGAAGAATTGAGGCCGGGGGAGTGTCCAGATCTTGACAGGAGATTTACTATCCTCAGGACACCTGCCACTTTCTCTCTTTCCCTGAGAAGTTCTAAATCAGGGCATGCTAACATCAAATGTTCTTTGACATGGCTACTACAACCACGCCCAAGGGCTTTGCATGAAAACCTCTACCTATAACTACAAGGGCTTGAGTGCAAATCTTCAAGTCCCTTGTTTTATTTTCATCCAATGTTCAGAAACACACTGTGTGAGATTTGATGCCTGTGGATCAAAAGCTCACATTTCAAGTCCCCCCAGGGAGAACACAGCAGCACCCAGCATGGCTAGAAGAACTCAGTACTACCAGAATGGCTAGGAGAGGGTCTGGGTCAGGCTCTATGCATTCCAGCTTGGAGGAAGCAACGACTGAAGAGTATGTCAATCATGGAGGATTACTGCAGTTTGGAGTAGAACAACAATGCCAAGATTAACCTCAAATTTGGTTTGTATTAGAAGCTGTTTGAGTTCAAAGCAAAAATCAGCCCCTACAATATGGTTGTCCAAACTGCTGGAGGATGACAGCTTTGTAATGAGAAGAGGGAAATGCAGGGCACACAAGGAGACTGCACCTGGTTGAGGAATAGGTCCATAGAACTTCCAGAAAAGGGAAAAAGAACAGCTTGTAAAACACTGGCTTTTCTATTGTTCTAAGACATTTGTGACTGATTTTCAGGGCTAGCTGTTTGCTCTCATGGCGAAAGGACTTCCTGTAAGTGTGGCATGAATTGTAGCACTTAAAATTATACTCCCTACCTGTGATCCTTGCATCTTGGAGGCTGAGACAGGGGGATTTCCATGAGGTCAGCTTGGGTTACACAGAGTGAGTTTTAGGAACGCCTGGGTTATTGAGTGAGACATCTGCCTCAAAACAGAAAAGACAGATTAAGATAATCAACTCCACTTCTTGAGGAGGGATGAGCTATAACAGGTTAAGAGGAAGATGAAGTAACTCTGCAAGGGGCATGGTGGTACCCGAGAGTACCAGCACCACCAGACAATGTCACTTCCTCCTAAAGGGTGCACTAGTCTTTTTATGGATGTTAAAATTACTGTTCCCTCAACAGAATCAAGCTTTATTCCACATCCCTTGAGGAACATAGTTCTACACAGAAGAATGCATGCTTCCCCATAGCTTTGAAGAAATATTTAGGATCAGAAGCAAGTATTACTGAGAAGTGCTACTCTGTGAGAAGAGAGGAGTTTTATTTTGCCTGCATGTATGCCTGGTGCCCACAAAAGGGTGTTGGATCTAATGG